GTTTAACATTCTAAAGTCATAATAGGAAGCAGAATATGTATTCATGCTGCTTAGCAGAAGATTGTGAATGGACATTGAAACTTGAAAGTTTGACCCTGTTCTATGTTATCAAAAGATGATAAGGAGATCATTTTCTAAGGTTGTTGTCAAGATTTTAGCTACTCATTTTCTTTGGACGCTGTTATGTTTGCTACTACATTCAATCATTTAGATGATTGTCTTTGAAATATCTGACTGCGGTCTTGATCATTTGTAGGTGAACTTGAATTGCCATTTATAGCATTATTGATGGTAATTGTGGCTCCTTATCAAGTTGCAAATCTAAGGTTGGTATATCCTTCTCTATAAATGTCACTTGGTCTGATAGAGTAGAGTTATATCTGGTTAGTATTGTTCTTGGCAGGGGGACAAAGGAAGGTGTCATTCTTTCCTTGGCTATAGCAGCTTATCTGGGTTTCCAGCATTTCACACGTGCTGGCAGCTTGCAGAAGGCGTTTGATCAAGGTTCAATTATTGCCACCCTAGCCATCATTTGTATTCTTGCTGTGCCATGCTTGCTCTTGATTTGATGTTAAACTACAGCGATTTCTCAAAGGAGTCCTGTAAATTATTTGAGTCATTTGAGGGTTGGAGATCACACAAATAAATATCTTTCTTTTAATCCCTCGTGTAAATTTCTAGCTGTTTATCTAGTCAAGTTTGTGGGACAAATTAAGGTGAATGTATTTATGCAGGAATAAATAGGATAAACAAGCTTTCATTTATATCCTATTAATTTCTATACTTTGGGTAACATCTGGTGCTACTTATCTACGAAACAAAATTATTCTTATTTTGGGTTTTACCATTGATGTAAAGAAAGAAAAGGTTTTAATTTGGGCTATCGCATGGAAAGAGTTTGCAAAGTCCAGTGGTTCCTCCAAAAGATAAATAACCTTCTTCCAGATTCTACTTGAAATGTAAAAGTGTAAAAATTCACAGAGGAATTAAGTAGTAACTGCTTTTTGTATAAGCACAGGGTTGGCACCACTGCCTTGCAGTGCCTTGCAGGTCAGACCTGGACATATATTTGTACGTCCATATTTCTTGAAGAGTGAGTGGGGCTTGCAAAGCATGTTTGCTTGTCTGGTAGTCTTCACATTGTTACATTTTTTTTATTCCTAACACGTGTTAACATTCTTCTGGAGTAGTTCAAATATTCTTATTCAATTATGTTATCTCTCTAATGTTACTGTATAAAGAAAGAACACCGTCTTGCTCCTTTTATTTCTGATAATGTTAAGTAGTGACTGCTGTAAGGAAGAAAAAAGTGAAAGCATAACAAAAAAGAGGTCGAAGTTTCAAATGATTCTTCAAAGTTTAGTTGTGTTTTTGCAATTTATATAGTGAGCTACTGTGTTCTCCGTATCTTGGAATCGGCATGCCTCATATGTCATAGTTTGGAGGATAAATGGTCGATATTAATGGTCTCTCGTTGATGGGTCACTTCCCGGATTTTGTACATGACTCTTCATTGAAATTCCTAAAATGAGATATTGTGTCTAAAGTATTTATTCACTGCAGAAATATTTTAATAGAAATTGGCTACATTAAGATGTTCTTCACTACGTACTGACTTCCTACTTGGGCTAAAAGCCATAAACGGACGAAGTACAGCGAGTTTCATGTGTTGAATGCCATGAGATTTTCACATCTCATGATGATTCTGCTGTTTAGAAGCAATGGGAGTATGGAGACAACTAGTGTCTTCTTGCAATCCCTGTGAACAATATCTTGCGCACTCTGTTTAGAATTGAATTGCTGTAACTGCCACCAGGAAAGAGGCCATGGCGAAGAGAAATTGGAAGTTGCTTGATAAGTTGTCTGCTCCACTGGGGGTACCTGTTGGTTCTGCACCATAATCTGTTGGATCAGAACCAAAACCATTCGGGCCACCTGGGGTGTATGGATTTACGGGCGTCGTTGTGCTGCAATTCCAAGGAATCAGACAAACATCTTCACATTTCTGGGTTAGGAGATAATTTAAAACTCAAATAATTTCAGATGGTTTATACCTTGGAGTTGGAGGTGGCAGAGAAGGGGGTGGCAGGGTAGGGGGTGGCTGGGCAGGTGGTGTGGTAGGGGTTGATTTTGATGCTGCATAGTGACAGTTCCCAGAGCCTGCAGTAATGAAAAAAAATTAGAAGCTTTGCCAACTTTTCTGGATTAGCAGATTAAAGAACTCTACTTCTATGTGATGTTTAGCAGCTTTAGTGCTGCTGTCTTGCACTTACTTGGGTCAGTATAAGTAAGCTGTGCTGTTCCTCCAAAATCACAGCTTGTGGGAGCTGGATTTTTTTGGTAGTAGTCATTGAAAGCATAGGAAGCATGGTCTTTAATTGTGTTTGGTTCGTAGCAGCTTCCACCAGACTGGATAGTTGAACAATCTGCACCTCCAAAGCCACACGCATAGTCCAGTGCTACTTGCAGAGCAGTTGTTGAAGCAGTGGAGCTGGCTACACACCAAGCCCCCCCTGTAGATGGCCCTGGATTGTTGCTCGGGTTTGGGTTTGGGTTAGGGTTAGGATTAGGATTTGGGTTCGGGTTCGGGTTCGGGTTAGGATTAGGATTGGGGTTCGGGTTAGGATTCATGTATGGAGCAGGGTTCGTGATTGGCTGTGTGGTAGATGGTGGCGGTGGGCTATCCATTGTGGGGTCTGGATATGTTGTACCTGGGGTTGTTGGATTAATGATGGGAACATCTAGCTGGTCAGAATACATGGAAGGTGAAATCGCAATGTCCTCCTCTTGGAATGCTAGTTTCTTGCTTTTTCTGATGGCTTTTGTGGGATGCTTGTCTGCAATGCTTGTACCTGAAGTAAGTGTATACACTAGATATGTGTCAGTTTGTTCTGTCTTTGCTTTATTCTTTAGATTCTGCATGTTGAAAGAATTAGTAGTATATCACAAGGTTGTTTCATATTTGATTCCATATCTCATTCTTGAACCAAGAACTTGTTGTTCTTAGCAGTTTATTATCTTCAGAAAAATGGAGCTTCATAAGATTTACTTTTTATGTTTGAAATTTCTTGGAGAAAGGCAAACTCCTTTTGAGTAAGCTTTTCTAGTAAATATATATTGTCAAAACATGTAAAATGTCATTCAGTAGCCTGTATTTGTGCAAAAAATTGACTTATGAAATCATCAAAGTTATTTGTATGTCCATAATCCAAATTGAAACGCTTAACATGAAATTCAAAAAGCTACAACAGTGCATGCATGCAAAAGAACATTGGGATGGTAAAAAAGAAATGAATTCAAATGAGGTGCAAAGGAGCTGTACAAAATTAAATAGTTCATTCAATAAGTGTATATTCCTCTATTCAGCTCAACATAATCTCATGTATAAGTTAGCTCCCAAATTAGTTTGCTATCAATTGCAAACTTCAGTTTTGATATCGAAAACTTGCAAACCAACAGTAGCAACATATCGAAGTATCTATAGTCCAGGATCAAAAGCCAAGAAATGGTAGAAATATCTCTTAAAATTTACCATAGTTAAAGATTATGTATAACATTTCGAAACATTATAAAAGAAAAAAGGGCCACATAGTGATATTCACCTGAAAAAATCAAGAGGCAGAAGAGGAAACAGCAAGAAATCCTCATAGCTACTTGTTCAATAGATTTTCAACTCTTGTTGTTTTCTATGAGAGAGTTTGTTTCTGATGAGAATAATTGTAGTTTTCTCAAAGAAGAGAAGCGCTAGAAATGTAAGCTGTGAAGAGGAAGCAATCATTTGTTGATGCATGTAATGTATATATATATAATTTTATGATAAAGTTAAGGAGGGAACAGAATCATAGCTTTCTTGCATTACAGTACAGGTTTATTGAGTTTTAATTTAGAGGAATATAAGAAAACTTGAGAAATGAGGCATGAGGTAGCTAGAAACTGCAAGCAATTGGAGGTGCCTAAATAGCAAAAGGTTGTTGCCTCAATAAGGCAAAAGCCAACAAAAGCTAATCTAGTTTTGGATGAAAATCTAAAGATGTATGTTTCAACACCACTCTATGTTTTTCTTATAACCGTGGTGTACGAGTCAGCTAACACACACCTCGACTAATCCCACCGATTTGAAATTGTAACATCATAACCTCAAATACACTTCATTAACCACTTAGGTGTAGAACACCACTATGTAGTTACTAGATTGTGTAATTACTATCACAATAGTAAATTCCATACAACATAGTTTTTGGTTATACAAGTGGTAATTACATAATTAGATATTTTTTAAAAATATTACACAACAATATGGTGGTAGAGTTTGTTACAATTTTCTTCCCTTTTTTTTCTGTCTACCTTTTCACTGTTATACAATACCTGGAGAGGTAAAGTTAGGAGGAGAAGGGAAAATGACAGGTTTTTGTAGTTTGGTATTGCTTTACATTTTATGCTCTGAGGGTAAAAAGTTATGGGATATCTTGCCAAATTTTCCTTTGCTTGTTGAATATTTGACAATCTTATGAAGTGTAAAGATTCAAACAGTCTAAAGAAAAGCCTATAGAAAACTACTACTATGAGACAATGCTTACCTTTTCATCTTTTTTATTGTATTAATATTGCATTTTGATACCATACTTCATATTGGCAGCCTAATCAAGATTTCTACTGCATAGTAGAGTCATGTCTACACTTTACATTTTATATCATCAAAAAGGAAAAATTAAGGTAACTTCAACTTTACCTTTTCTGGTCCCTGTCCCTTTCCTCAGGTGTTAACAAACTTTTGAGGTTCAATCTTAGCCCCAAAAATAATCCTTGGCCTTGAGATGAACTTTTTTCGAATGCTACGTAAAATTTTGGAGACACAACTCAGCTGGCAAAGGAACTGATTGTGGTATTGTCTTTTTACCGAAAAGTAACAGTGGTCTGGGTGACACTTAGAAGTGACTATTATGAGAATTTGTGCAACCAGATGTTCATACAGAAGTACATCTTATTAGGGAACATCAAAATGAGGCGCAAATTGATTTACATTTACTCAAAATGTGTGTACAATATGAACTGTTGGTTGTATCAGGTAAATTGCTAGTTATTTATGTCCAAAACTTGTGCTACTATCATCCATAGGCACCTGCTATCAGTAAAATAAATACAATGACACAACTCAGCTGGTTCTGGCCTACTAATTTTATCATCCAATGGCCAGTTCTGCATCTTGATAGATTAAAGTTGCTGATATCGATCTGATTTGTTCTTCAAGAGGATGTCTAGGCAATAGAAGAGTATGCATTACGTACTTTGTTTCTTCCTGGTGATGCTCAGGCTAAGGGTGAAGCTAAGCGACTGTGAAGGTTAACATCTGTTAATATCATATCAAACTGAGTGTTGCACGACCGAAGGACTACCCCAAGTTATTCATCTGTCATGATGATGAATCGGAATGACACTGAAAGGAAAACGAGCGAGCTGTATGTGGCAGAAAGAGCCATGATAAGAAACCACAAGTTAATAAAGAAACAAGAAGAAGAAAATAGAAACCCTTACCTTATCCATCTTGTTGTTTGTGGCACTTTGACAAACGATTGTTGACTTCATTCCAAGCTGCAAATATTATATAGTTTTATATTCAGAGAAACAGAATGCTGTTGACACATGTAATGATGTGAATAGGAGCATCTTACCAGGAAAATTCCTGAAATCTGGTTCAACTCCATTGCCATTAATATCCATGTGATTTGGTGTGACATACTTCCCAATTGTTACAACCACGCCCGACCCATCGGGCAGCTCAAATACAGACTGAATCAGCCCCTGAAATGATGTTAAGAATACAGTGATGTTGTCCCTCAGAAAGAAGACCAGCAAACCTACCATTCCATACACCAAAATTTTCTAGCAACCAAGTACCAATATAAAGATTTAGTAGGCTTCAGATCAATTTTCAAGCTACTCCAACTTCACAGAGAAAGGCCATATACAGCCAACTGCATGGAACTAATCCCAACAACTAAAACAACAGAATTCAAAATAACTGATTACAAAGTATGTATCTTTGAAGTTTGAAATAGACCCCCTTTGGATCTAGTTACCCAAAGAATAGTGTTTCTTCCTACACTTCCCCTTGATCTGTGTAATCGTATGCATCTCCGCACAACTCAACACTACTCAAAAATAGCTACTGCAATGGTTGTAGCAATTGCTAGGAACACGTGTTTAGAAATAAAGTAGTCTTAAAGGAGCTGCAACAGAAATGCTGCAGATCGGGAACACGAAGGAGTTGAGAGCTCCTACTCAGCCACTCCTCTGTTCTTAAGTGTGCCCCTCTTCGGAACAAATGAATACTTTAATCATTACTAATGCTAACCGTTTTCCCTTTGACTGCTAATTACACTGGCCATAATAGAGGTTTATTAGTCCTCGCAACAACAAATAGTTGTAGTAGATTAGTTAAGGATTCAATTAGATCCCCTATACATAAGCAGGACTACAGCACTAGGAAACCATCAAGAAGATAAATTTTTAGGTTGGTAGTTAGGGAAAGATTTCAACTGCTAGACATAATTAATTCTGTTCAGAGAAATCAGGAAGCATTGATTATTTCTTTGAAACAAATGATTTGATTACTTTTTCTCCAAAATGAATAAATTGGCAATATCTAGCAATCATAATTTGCCTCTGGGCATGAAGTCGATGTGAAAAGAGATGACTTAATTAGGGGCATAGTTAGCTCAGTCTAGACAAATAGCTTTTATCTTCATCTTGGTCGCATAAAAAATCATAACCAGCGGAATATGCCACAGTTGATTATGAAATCTAGAGGTTGCAAAGTGGGTATGTGGGTCTTAAATGGGTTGCACGAAAGGTCGTCATAGCCTCATGTGCATTAGTTGTTCAACTATTATTTTTGGCCTCGGACAAATTCCCAAGTCCCATGCATATTCAATGTATTCTTCCGTGCTATTTTGTCAATGATAAAGAATTAACAAAAGTGAGTTTATATCAAGATTTTGTAACGGTTTGAGGACTGGCAAATGAAATAAAATAATGCAAAAGCAGAAAGTAGGTTAAGAAAAGAGTGATGGTAAAGATTCACATCCAATCAGATCATCAGAATACGAGTGTACACTGCACAGCATTTTGAATTTTTGATCATGGTAATGAAACATCAAGAAATTTCTTTAGTTCTACCTATGCATGTAGATGATTGTAAACACTTTCTGGGGGAAATAAAGCAGCCCCACATAGCTGGATATGCTATATCTAGTATACTGCTAACAATTTAGGACTGAGGAGTAGTAGATAAATATAGTTTACCGTTGAGACATTGAGAAAAGTTGCTTTACAATTTATAGAGATGTGCATAATACCAACCAGTATGCCAATAAAGAAGTTCAAATATTGAAAAGAGAAACCAAAGTAACTAGAAATTCAGACCTTGCCATATGTCTTGTCTCCCACAAGAACAGCTCTGCAATTGTCGTGAAGTGCTGTTGCAACCTGAAATGAAATTCATGAATTAGACAAAAATATTTCAGCCCTTCAAGAACTGGTATGGCAATGTAGTATTAGTAGCTCACAATTTCACTAGCACTTGCAGTACTTTTGTTAACCAAAACCTGCATTGGAAGTTACTAAATCCATCAGAGTGGTAAGACAAATAGTAACTTTTGAGAACTAGAAGAGAAAAGAACATCTTCATGAACTTGCAACAACAACCAGAGCCTCTCTATGATTCTACAGTCAAGAAACAGTAAGCTCGAAATCAATTTGTTTGATCTTATATCAGGTGTTTATTTCATTTATCCATTGCTATAGCAACTTCAGCCAATTTAAGGAATCTACTCTTTTAAGTTTCAGCCATGAATTATCTTATGATTCTATAATCAGGAAACGTTAGCACAAACCACCAAAACGTTATATATGATTACCTGTTTATTTCATTTATCCATTGCTCTTACCAACCTCAACAAATTTAAGGCATCAAATATTAAAGTTTGTGACAGCTTCAAGAAAAGACTCAAGCTAATGCTGAAGCATGACATATAACAGCACTAAAAGTCAATATCTAACACTTCTTAGACTTGTACGGTAAAACTGCAAACTTTGAATATGTCAGTGGTCAATATACCTTAAAGAAATTGGGGCAAAATGTGGTTTAATTTAATGCAAAGCGAAATCAGAAACAAACTTTGACTTACATCTACAATCCACTTGACCTTAAAAGTACAAGGGTTTTTGCTCAAAGAAGTCTGCTTCATTTTGACAGAGGAAATTTCCGAATTTCTCATTTAGAATGAAACTAATGGAATTGTTCATTCAAAAAAAAAAAAGAAGGAAAAATGTAATTTGAAGAAAGCTTTGATGGATTCTTCTATTTCACAAGTGATATCACCAAATGGCTTGTAACAATGACAAGAAAAATATGCAATTGAAAGAAAATATTGAAGAATTCTGCTGTTTTAGAGTTGACATCTGAGATGTGGACTCGTATATGCCTTACAATTACTGGAGCTGTAATAAGAGGTGGAGCTTCTGCAACAATATTCCTTGTATTCTGTGGATCCCTTCCAACAGTGTAAATCACCTGCCAATATATATATTTCAGAAGAAAAGCTTCTTACTGAACAGTAAGCATTTAAGGCTAATAATCAAGCATAACCAAATCACAGAATAGCTAATGCTCCATATAGAAGATGAGAAATATGACTACCGTGTCTCCTTCATTCAGAAAGAGTTTTGCGATTTCAATGCCAGCCTGAAAGGCAAAAATTCACCGCTTGTTAAACAAGTAACTTGTCAAGCTCGACCAAATCAAAGAAGGGATAAAGTAAAACCTGCACTAGTCCACCAAGGTTATCTCGGAGATCAAGAACAAAAGATGAGGCACCCATGCCTTCGAGTCGCTTAATTGCTGCAGAAAGTTTTGACAATCTCAGAAACAGACTACACACAGAAAGCTTATACACATTAGGTTGCTGAAACTGAAAGAGTTCAGACCATGTCTCAGGTGTAAAATCTCTGGAATGGCAATACTTTTAGCAAATCAGACTATACATTTTAAATGCCAACACAAAAATTATCCAGAATACAATAATACACGATCTCTTGGCATTTCATTAGTTATTCAGGTCTTAATGAATGATATTATAACATGTAATGCAGTTCAACTGAAGATGTTATATCCCGATGGTTTGACGGTGTTGAGAGCCACAAAATGCAATTATAGTCATCATAGAGTGGTTCCAAGAGACATGCAAAACCTCTTAACCAGGCATCTATGTCTTAAATTTTGTGCTTCCACTTAATTTCTGCGGAGCTTGGTTCAGTTTATCTGACAGAGCCATTAGCTACATGAAACCCTCTAGTGAAATAAAACTGTATTTCATTTCATATTTTATATCTTCCAGTTAATGCTAACTTCTCGTGTCAGCATCTTCGCATTTGTCATCTCCCGTTATTTTAGAAAGAGTTGTCCTCATAATGTTACACTCTTACCACGAAAGTTTAGGTAAAAAGTAGCTTTAGTTTCTCTGTTGAAGTGCTTCAGTAAAGCACTTAAACTAGTTACATCTTTCAGTTATTTTATTCAACATATGGCTGCATATAGAATAGATACGTACCAGTAACCAAATCTTTTCTGGCCAACGCATTGAACTCCTTCAGGCGCACATAACCAACAGAAGTAGAGCCATTTTCAATCTGATCCAGCCGATAAAAAACCGGTGTCTTAGCAATAGATTGCCTCTCCACATCAATGGACTGGACAGGTCCACAATTTCCATGCTTAACCTGCAACCACATCATGAGAATCAGCATGAAGATGTCATTGAAAAATAGACCTATTGAGGTTCGGCAGTGTTCAGAAACACAACCATGATGTTCACAGATGTCCCATTTGGGCCTAGTAACAGTGAAGATGCTTCAAAGGAAGATTTACCCAGCACATCCACCCCATTCACAGATATCAGTTCATCTCCCTGCCACGAGTTCACATGAAAGATACATGTTAATTTTTCACTGAATGGTAAATCAAACTAGAATAGGGAAAACTGAAGTGAACCCAGATACTTTCAGTGGGGAGAGAAAATGTAAAGAAGTAGTATGTGCTAATGTTATACTCAATTGCAGCCAAAATAGCACATGTTCATGCAACAACAACATACCCAATGAATCCGTACCCTGTGAAGGTAGAGAGGTTGTTTCCGATAAACCCTCGTCTCAAGTAAGCATTTCAAAATAACACATCTTCATGCGGTCTACATATTTAGCTATGGAAAAATTCCATCACTTAAAATATATCATAAGCCATCAAGCAGTACAAGACACCTGCGAAACTAACAGGCAAGGCCCCAAGTATGTGTGGTGAGAAGGACTGGACACCTTGAGGGAAAATTATATTGAATCAGAGGCCATTAGTTTGCCAGTTTAAAGCTTATCTCTCCTTTTTCAATCGTATTCATAAATAACAAAGACAAATTCCCTACTGTTGGCATTATCAAGTAATCATGACTACAATAACCGAGATATTAAGCATTTCATCAACAGGGAAAAGAAAAGAACCACTGCATAAAGCTAAGCAAAATAAATAAGGGAAGTGCTTTTGTTAGTAAATGACTGTAAATGACATACCTGTCGTACACCGGCATTATGGGCAGGGCCATCCAATAGGAGCCCTAAAACCTTCAGTTTTGAACCTCCATTGCCATCTGGAACATCCCTGAGGTTAACTCCAATCCCAGTCATATCATATCTAGCCATCTTGGAGAACTTTCAATGACAAGCAGTACATTTCATGGAACAAGAACACTGGAAAGTTGGTAAGTAAGACGTTTATTTGAATTAAGGAAAAAGTTGGTAAGTAAGACGTTTATTTGAATTAAGGAAATGCAAGATACACTGAAAAAAGAAGGAATCAATAGAAATCATATATCTCATGACGTACGATACAATACCCATTCTTAACTGAAAGTAGAGAAGTACTATCGTCTCTACAACATATGGCTTCATCAATTTGTGTTTCATCCAATTAAATGGAAAGATGATAATGCAGGAGGATGAGATGAAAGATCCGTACAGATTCAGGACGGTTAATAATACATACATATATTGGAATCATAAAAAGAGAAATTGAGAACATAATGTAAAGAAGTAAAGGAACTTCAAATCACTAATGCTAACGAAGAAGCGTCGAACCTCTTCCAAACTTCCCTAGTACATTTATATCAACCTATAAACGAAAGAATACGTCCAAATTGCTTCACTCTTTGCAATGTTTAAACTCGGAAATAAAATTTCTAGTCCTATGTAACGAACCGAACCAAAAAAGATTTGTATTCCCATGTGGTAGACATCCTGTCTTCCTCTAAAAATTGTATGCTAATTTAAACATACATACCAAATTCAACAATACAGACGTAAATATTGATGTAAAGAGGACTTATTACCTGTTCAGGAGAAAGAAACCGTGTATAGGGGTCACCCAAGCTAGCCAACATACGCTTGATGATATCATGTGCTTTTGACCTTGTCTGAATTGATGAACTTAAGATGTCATCTTTCTTTTGCTGGTAATAACATAGAAAACGAAATATTTAGTCATGAATACTTCTAAGTTGATATCAATACAAAAGAATATGATAGGGAGAGCAATGATCTAGGTAGGATGAAGAGAAGGCAAGAACCCAGGGAGAAAAAAGATGTCAGCAGAGACATAAAAGGCTCAGATCTTTTCGAAAAGACATGATGTAGTGCTAGCAAAATGCTTCCACTGGTTCATTTATCACATTTTTATCCACATTAGACATGCTGAGCAACAAAATTAGAATTTTTTTCACCATGCGCTTTACTGCATCAGACTTGCTGAGCAGTTAGGTGAAAGACTTATATTCCGCCACTATTACTACATATCCTAGTTAAGTGCACTATCTACAGTAGAAAGAAACTAAAATCTCTTCAGTATTATAAAATATTTGACATTATATTCAGTCATCAATTTTCAAGAATCCGACTACTAATTAATCTCAATTCCAACAATGCATGATGTTTTCCTTGTTAAACTACACATCACGTTAAGTCCATGCCTCCAACAATTAGTTTGACATTTTCTACTTCAATGTTCTTAGAAATAATTTTTGTTATTCCTCCAAATCCAGAAAATCATATGGCTTTAATGATGATACGAATATTTTTGATGAAGTAGCTGATTTCATTCGAGGCATCCATTACAATGACCCTACAGTAAAGATAAGTAGCTAACACAATCCAAAAAGAATTCCTGTTATTTTACGAAATATACGTTTATTCCTGCCCCACCAACAGAGCTAATCAGCATTTTCAGGGAACATTTCAATATGGATCTTAACCTCCAGCCCCCACCAAATTGCTAAGAGCATCTCTTTTGCCATGTTGGATGAGAATTTTCCAGTAGAGATTTAAATCCATAAAAGGAATTCCAATATACATATAGAATGAAATTAAATATATTCTCCTAGTAATAGTATACTAAATATGCTCCAAGTATGTATTTTTACAAGCTAAGTAGATGATCTAAGCAAACCATCAAATTCAATACCCCTTAAGCTAAAAGAAGGAATAGTTCCATATTTAGAATGAAATAGAGCATATTCTCTGGCAGCAGAATACGAAACAATCAACCAGATATGAGATACCTCTCAATAATTGATATGCAAGAGAACCCTTCAGCTAAAAGGTAAAAAAAAGATTCTACACTTAGAACGAAATAGTGCATATTTTCAGCAAAATACCAAACAATAATTGATATGCAAGAGAACCCCTAGAGCTAAAAAGAAAAAAAGAAGCTACAATTAGAATGAAATAAATAGAGCATATTCTCTGGTAGCAAAATACCAAACAATCAATGAGATAGCTATCAAGAATTGATATGCAAAAGAACCCCTTTAGCTCAAAAAAGTTAAATTTTCTTGTTTTTTAAGAGAAAAACAACATCTTACAAGCCACGATTCAGGAGACCAAGAACGACGATCGCTGGTGTTAAGAAAGCTGTCATTGACAATCTGCCAAGCTTCTTCCACAATGTTTTCATTGCTCACCACTTTGGATACTTCAGTGTCTTTCTCATACACCTCCTCCCCCTCGTTCTCTCGGCAAATCACCTCCAAAGATGAGTTAGAAGATTGAAGTGAAGGGGATTCCAAAGCAATAGAAATAGGAGCAGAAACAAGAAGCCCCAAAGAAAGAACAAGTGAAACCCCAGTTGAGAGAAGTTGCTGAAGGGGTTCATGATGAGAGACGAAAGATGATTTTTTGGGAGAGATTGAAGCTTTAATTGGTGAAAAAGAGGTTAACAATGGTGGAGATGGTGAAGGTAAGGGGCTGTGGAGGAGCCTCATCTTGTATCTTTTCTTCCAACAAACTAATTTTAAGAATTAGATATTCCAATTCAAATTTCCAAGTATTAAAAGTTATTAATACACCACAGTTCTCTATTCGAGTTTAGATATGAACGAAATTTTTATTTTTAATGTTTTTTCAAAAAAAATTTAAAGCGTAACTAAAATTTAATCAAATTCAAATTTAAATAGAAAATAAAAAAACAAAAATACTTATATTACAAAACATATAAGAGAATAGAGAACATCAACATCATATTATTACTCCTTCCGTCCAAAATTGTTTGTTATATTACGCTTATCGAACGTTAATTTAACTAATTTTCAATGGTAAATTAGATCACATTAATTTGATATTTTAAACAAAAAAATTAAATATTCTAAAACTATATGAAAAGTACTAATAAATTATAATTTTTTGTCATATTAATATGATTTAAAAAAAATACATTTTAAAATGTTAATCAAAGTATAGTTTAACTTTAAAAATAAAATTGAGAATAAACAATATTGGACGGAGGGAGTATATGATAATCAAAGTAGGAAAATAACAAGTACTACTACATCCTAAACATGTTAAATTCAATTAGTGGTAGAGTAGTAAGTACTCACTCATTCTTAATCAAAACGTCTTAATTTTATTTCTCTCTATATAACTTTTTAATACGAATCTAAAATTAATCAAACTCTAATATGAATATCAAACACCAAACAAAAAAACAAAAGAAATATCATGTGCAGGTTTGTCCAAGTGCTTAACATTTTTGTATAGGCCCATTATATATGTTAGACACTAGTCAAAATTCAGAGCCCAAAATGGAAACTCTACTTTCTAGTGGGCCCACTGGCCCATTTACCCGACACGTCATCTTCTTTACCAAAAATTGGAAATTTGGGTTAACCAATCACTGACTTTTAATTTTTAAAAAACATTATGGATAAACATCTTTTTGGCAATTCGATTTCAATACTCTCACCACTAGGCGCGTGAATTACACGTAACGTAATTTAAAGGACTCAAAACCCTTAGTTGGGCCACTTAATATCACGTGCTTCTACAGAGCGTGAAGTATATTTTAGGGTATCCAAATATAATTTAAAATCCATAAGAAAACGCGGCTATCCAACAATTTACTTCTATTACTTAGGTATACATTATTTTTGGATTAAATTAAAAAATTAAATTAGATTGAGTTGAATTTTAACTTGTTCATTATTAATTAATGTTTTTCATTATGAGTTTTTCTAATGTTTAAACATTTATAATTAACATATTTTTAAGTGTTTGTGCATTAACATTTTACTTCTGATTTATATTAGAAAATATATTTAAGAGATTCTAATTACTGATTATGTTTTTAGTTATTGGTTAAACCAAATAATTAAACGAAAAAGAAAAAAATCAAATCAAATCAAATTTAATTTGATTTGAATTGAGTTATATTTCTTCACAATCAAAATTTGAAAAAACTCGATCTGAAATAGTACAAAATCAAACAAATAGTATCATGTATTCTCTTTTATTTTTTTCAAGTTTGCATTAAAATTCTGACTAAATTTGAATCGACCTATTTAAGAGTGACAATCTCACTAATTTTTAAAAATATTCGATAAAAAGATTTAAGAAATAAAATAATTAAATTTCTAACTTATTTCGATCGATTTTCAAATATCTTGATTATTAGTATTTTTTTTTATCAAGACTATGGACACACTAAAATTTGCAAAGTGGAAAATCCCGAAGATTAAAACTAAAGAGGTAATGTTTAAATTAAAATAAGATAAAAAAGAATTGTATATCATTCCACTTTTTTAAAATATTAAAGTTTTAAAAAATATAAAATATCATTTTCAAGACTTCTCCAAACGTAATAAAGTTTTACACGATAGTAAAATAATTTAACCTTTTAAAGAGATATTTCTATTATATTGTCTTATCCAATTTAGTCATATTATCATATAATTTGTAAAGAATAATTATTTATTTATATTGTTTATTTGTATTACTAGACGTTAAAAGCAAAAATGAGAAATATAAATTATTTTTATCATAAAGAAACTTTATGAGGTTGAATTCTTCATCATAAAAAAAAATATGACGTTGCGAATGAAATTATTATTTCTTTAATCAGAGATTTTACGTTCGATCATTAAATATTAAAAATTTCATAATCAAAAATAGTTTTCCTCAAATAAGGATATATACAACACAAATCTAAATCAAAAAATGAAGTTGAATACTTCAATTTCAAACTCCAAACTTATTTGTACATCATATTCATATGTGCAATTGTGTATCATTTGACCTAGTTATATATATATATGCATGTTGACAAAAAATAAAAATAAATCATGCACGTAGTAAAATAAAATGTACCACAAAAAAAAGGACATGATTCCACTTATTATAAGTCCATCAATAGAATATTGTTCTTATTTAATATTTTAGGTATATTATTTATTATTGATACTATTCTTCCTTTTTTTCTTTTTGCAAATTATTTTTTTTATTACTATATTTTTTTTAAAATTTATTTTTTATTCGAGTCAAAAGTCTTTTAAAAATAATTTAACGGAGATTTTCGAAAAAACATGAAAAGTAAAAAAAGAAACATTTATATTAGAAGAGAAGCCCAAACCCACAGAGAGGAAGAAGAAGAGAAGCAGCAGCAGCAAAAGCAAAAACCCCTTCATTCTGTGCGTTATTTTTCATAATAAAACTGAGATAAATATACAGAGTTGAGGAGACCCAAAAAACCCTAAACTATAACAGATCTGAAACAAGAAAATATTTTGTGGGTCTTTCTTGTTTTTTTCCTCTCTTTTTTTTTAGAGAAAAAGAGTTGTCTTCTTCAAAGATGAGTAGCAGAAACAATGGTGGAGTTGGGGTACAATCGATACCCGCAGGGTCAAGAAAGATGGTACAAAGCTTAAAGGAGATAGTTAACTGTCCTGAACCTGAGATCTATGCTATGCTCAAAGAATGTAATATGGACCCCAATGAAGCTGTCAATAGGCTTCTTACTCAAGGTCTACCATAAACCCTAAATCTTTAATTTCCTTTTTTTTTTGGTGGGTTTCGGGTTTTAGGGTTTTTTATGTTTTGGGAAAAAATTGAATAAAGGTACTGTTTTTATAGATAGAAACAAGAAACAAAAGAAAATCTGTAATAATACTTCTTTTCTTGATATTGGGTGTTAGAAGCTGTTTTTTGTAAGGAGAAGAATGAGAAAAGATTTGATTTTTATGCTATATAGTTAGTTCAAGATTTATTGTAAGGTATCTTAATGGATTGAGCATGCAGATATTTCATTGATTGTGACTTTAGAAAATGAAGAGAAGACAAAACTAGGGTCTTTAGGGATTTTGTTAATCAGATTACTAGGATTCTCTTTTTAATGCACTTTGTGTTAGTTCTTGTATTAGATTTCTTAGGTTTACAATTACTCTTCTTTTACTATCTCTGGCCACTGATTTTCATCTACATGTTAATGGGACTTCCATTTCTTCCTTTGTGTGCGAGTTGTCTTATTTGGTAGCCTTTTCTTGGACTTTTGAATTAATGTTGTTGGGATTTCGGTGGTACAAGTACTGAATTCCATGTTAGTTATCCGTTTTCCAGAAATGCACGCTTTACTTTGAAGAAGCATGAGTTTGCTTTTCGTTTCTCTCTTAAAGCCTCAAGAACTTATATTTTGTGCTTTTCACTTTTAGAACGTTAGCTACTGCAGTCATGTTTGCCTTCCTCTGTGCTCTTCTATGTTGTACTTGTACTTGAAGGTTATAGTATTTTTAGTTCTTGATAGAATGGTCTGCCATTCCATTGGATGGTGACCTTAGTTTGTGATTAATTTTGATCACCTTCTAATTATAGTTTATTGATTGGCTAGATACTTTTCATGAGGTGAAGAGCAAACGTGAAAAGAGAAAAGAGGTTCGTAATTTTTACTTAAAGCGGGATTTTAGAGACAAATTGGTTATGGCGATCTGATTTTAACTTTCTCGTTCTTAATACTGCCTGTTTCTGTTGTAATTTACTATATGATACGAGATTACGGAAAATTAGTCTACTCAGATCTCTTATTACCTTGGCTCGATGATTAACTTCTGATGAAATTCTGAATATTTCTACGGTGAAAACAAAAGTATAAAGTGAAAGATTCTCTGTTTGGAAATTTGTTCAGTAGAGGTTCTTTTTAGTAGGCACCCCATTATTTTGATATTCCAATTTCTCTTTCTGTTTATACTGATAAATTATGGTGCCTTATTCTTTTCAAATAATATGGTGTTTCCTCTTGATATGTTTTACGTCTTATTGGTTAATGCATGATCTAGCAGAATATTACAAGGTGTTACTATGTTACTTTCTTAAATGGCTTGTTCATTTTTTCATTCTTCACTCATAATTATCTTTGGTTCAGAGTAAGGATACGACTGAATCTAGGCCACGTGGTGCAATTAGCAACTCAGGCCGTGGTAGCAGGGGAGGTGCAGAACGATATGTTGGGCGCGGTGGGTCAGGTATGTACATGATAATGTACACTCTTTTCAAACATAATCATGTCTTAAGTTTTGCATAGTTCATCGTGTCATCTCATGAGGGTATCGTCTTGTTTCTATATACCCTTTCCAGCCGAGTCTACCAAGCTTATTCCTGGATACAGAAAAGATAATGGATCAAAGACGAGTAACCTGACTTCTACTCTAGGAGTTTCCGGAATAAGCAGGAGGGCCACAACAATCAGGTTAGTTGTTTCAAGTTTCAACTTCATAAATAGTTTAGGTTCTCTCAAAAATACATCAGTTGCACATCAGTTGCCTGTAGATGTTTGTCTTTCTTTTTTCCGTAGAGTATTCTGTAGTACCACAGTATGTTTCTTTTTATTGAAGTGTCTTTGGCAGTAATATAATTAACTTAGTAATTACAATCAGTAATCCCTGTATTGGATTAAGCTAAGACTTTTCATGCACTTCAATAATCACGCAATGTGAGCTATTCTCAAAATGCATGTGACAAAGCACAATAAGGGAAAGGTTTTTTTTTTCC